ACACCAGGGCTAAAAGTGTGTGCCAGGCACTAGCAGACATTTTTGCCAGGGTAGGTTGGCCCTCCGACATCCTCACAGATGCAGGGACTAATTTCCTGGCAGGAACTATGAAAAACCTTTGGGAAGCTCATGGGGTAAATCACTTGGTTGCCACTCCTTACCATCATCAAACAAATGGCATGGTGGAGAAGTTAAATGGAACTTTGGGGGCCATGATACGTAAATTCGTAAATGAGCACTCCAATGATTGGGACCTAGTGTTGCAGCAGTTGCTCTTTGCCTACAGAGCTGTACCACATCCCAGTTTAGGGTTTTCCCCATTTGAACTTGTATATGGCCGTGAGGTTAAGGGGCCATTGCAGTTGGTGAAGCAGCAATGGGAGGGATTTACACCTTCTCCAGGAACTAACATTCTGGACTTTGTAACCAACCTACAAAACACCCTCCGAACCTCTTTAGCCCTTGCTAGAGAAAACTTACAGGATGCTCAAAAAGAGCAAAAAGCCTGGTATGATAAACATGCCAGAGAGCGTTCCTTCAAAGTAGGAGACCAGGTCATGGTCTTAAGGGCGCTCCAGGCCCATAAAATGGAAGCATCGTGGGAAGGGCCATTCACGGTCCAGGAGCGCCTGGGAGCTGTTAGTTATCTCATAGCATTCCCCACCTCCAACCGAAAGCCTAAGGTGTACCATATTAATTCTCTAAAGCCCTTTTATTCCAGAGAATTAAAGGTTTGTCAGTTTACAGCCCAGGGAGGAGACGACGCTGAGTGGCCTGAAGGTGTTTACTACGAAGGGAAATGTGCTGGTGGTGTGGAAGAGGTGAACCTCTCCATGACCCTTGGGCGTATGCAGCGACAGCAGATCCAGGAGCTGTGCACTAGCTACGCGCCAACGTTCTCAGCCACCCCAGGACTGACTGAACGGGCATACCACTCCATTGACACAGGTAATGCTCACCCAATTAGGGTCCAACCTTACCGGGTGTCTCCTCAAGCTAAAACTGCTATAGAACGGGAGATCCAGGATATGTTACAGATGGGGGTAATCCGCCCCTCTGAAAGTGCATGGGCATCTCCAGTGGTTCTAGTTCCCAAACCAGATGGGGAAATACGTTTTTGCGTGGACTACCGTAAGCTAAATGCTGTAACTCGCCCAGACAACTATCCAATGCCATGCACAGATGAACTATTAGAGAAACTGGGACGGGCCCAGTTCATCTCTACCTTGGACTTAACCAAGGGGTACTGGCAGGTACCGCTAGACGAATCTGCCAAGGAAAGGTCAGCCTTCATCACACATCTCGGGCTGTATGAATTTAATGTACTCCCTTTCGGGCTGCGAAATGCACCCGCCACTTTCCAAAGACTTGTAGATGGTCTCCTAGCGGGATTAGGAGAATATGCAGTCGCCTACCTTGACGACGTGGCCATATTTTCGGATTCCTGGGCAGACCACCTGGAACATCTACAAAAAGTCCTTGAGCGCATAAGGGAGGCAGGACTAACTGTTAAGGCTAAGAAGTGTCAAATAGGCCTAAACAGAGTGACTTACCTTGGACACCAGGTGGGTCAAGGAACTATCAGCCCCCTACAGGCCAAAGTGGATGCTATCCAAAAGTGGCCTGTCCCAAAGTCAAAGAAACAGGTTCAATCCTTCTTAGGCTTGGCTGGTTATTACAGACGATTTGTACCGCACTACAGCCAAATCGCTGCCCCACTGACAGACCTAACCAAAAAGAAACAGCCAAATGCTGTTCAGTGGACCGGAAAGTGTCAGAAGGCCTTTAACAAGCTTAAAGCGACACTCATGTCTGACCCTGTACTAAGGGCCCCAGACTTTGACAAACCGTTCCTAGTAACCACAGATGCGTCCGAGCGTGGTGTGGGAGCAGTTTTAATGCAGAAAGGACCTGATCAAGAATTCCACCCTGTAGTGTTTCTCAGCAAAAAACTGTCTGAGAGGGAAAGCAACTGGTCAGTCACTGAAAAAGAATGTTACGCCATTGTCTACGCTCTGGAAAAGCTACGCCCATATGTTTGGGGACGGCGTTTCCACCTGCAAACCGACCATGCTGCACTGAAGTGGCTTCACACCGTCAAAGAAACTAACAAAAAACTTCTTCGGTGGAGTTTAGCTCTCCAAGATTTTGATTTCGACATCCAACACATCTCAGGAGCTTCTAACAAAGTGGCTGATGCACTCTCCCGTGAAAGTTTCCCAGAATCAACTGGTTAAAATCGTCCTTGAGATGTGGAAAATATTGTTAGTCTTTATGTACTTGGTAGTATATTTAGAGATGCATGTGTCTTATTAACTCTGTTTTCCTAGAGCTCCAGGAAGAAATCCCAGCCAGTGTTTCACCCTAGCTGAGATTTGGGGGCGTGTCATAAATATAAAGGGAAGGGTAAACCCCTTTGAAATCCCTCCTGGCCAGGGAAAGCTCCTCTCACCTGTAAAGGGTTAAGAAGCTAAAGGTAACCTCGCTGGCACCTGACCAAAATGACCAATGAGGAGACAAGATACTTTCAAAAGCTGGGAGGAGGGAGAGGAACAAAGGGTCTGTCTGTGTGCTGTTCTTGCCAGGGACAGAACAGGAATGGAGTCTTAGAACTTTTAGTAAGTAATCTAGCTAGGTATGTGTTAGATTATGGTTTCTTTAAATGGCTGAGAAAAGCATTGTGCTGAATAGAATAACTATTTCTGTCTGTGTATCTTTTTTGTAACTTAAGGTTTTGCCTAGAGGGGTTCTCTATGTTTTTGAATCTAATTACCCTGTAAGATATCTACCATCCTGATTTTACAGGGGGGATTTCTTTATTTCTATTTACTTCTATTTTTTATTAAAAGTCTTCTTGTAAAAACTGAATGCTTTTTCATTGTTCTCAGATCCAAGGGTTTGGGTCTGTGGTCACCTATGCAAATTGGTGAGGCTTTTTATCCAACATTTCCCAGGAAAGGGGGGTGCAAGTGTTGGGAGGATTGTTCATTGTTCTTAAGATCCAAGGGTCTGGGTCTGTAGTCACCTAGGCAAATTGGTGAGGCTTTTTACCAAACCTTGTCCAGGAAGTGGGGTGCAAGGTTTTGGGAAGTATTTTGGGGGAAAGACGCTCCAAACAGCTCTTCCCCAGTAACCAGTATTAGTTTGGTGGTGGTAGCGGCCATTCCAAGGATAACGGGTGTAATATTTTGTACCTTGGGGAAGTTTTGACCTAAGCTGGTAAAGATAAGCTTAGGGGGTTTTTTCATGCAGGTCCCCACATCTGTACCCTAGAGTTCAGAGTGGGGGAGGAACCTTGACAGGGCTATTGCCACTCACTTCCCAACTGTGAGGGCTGCTCTCATCTTGGTATTCATGCACTTCAGGGCAGGGGAAAGCAAGTTATAAAGTTCCATGAAAGTGCCCTTACGCATGCGAAAGTTTCGCAGCCACTGGGAATCGTCCCAGACCTGCAACACTATGCGGTCCCACCAGTCTGTGCTTGTTTCCCGGGCCCAGAATTGGCGTTCCACCGCATGAACCTGCCCCATTAACACCATGATGCCCGCATTGCCAGGGCCCGTGCTTTGAGAGAAGTCTGTGTCCATGTCCTCATCACTCTCATCACCATGCTGACGTCGCCTACTTGGCCCGGTTTCGCTTTGGCAGCTTCTGGTGCTGCATATACCGCTGGATAATGCGCGTGGTGTTTAATGTGCTCCTAATTGCCAAAGTGATCTAAGCGGGCTCCATGCTTGCCGTGGTATGGCGTCTGCACAGAAAAAAGGCGCGGAACGATTGTCTGCCGTTGCTCTGAGGGAGGGGAGGGAGGGACGACTGACGACATGGCTTACAGGGTTGGCTTACAGAGAATTAAAATCAACAAAGGGGGTGGCTTTACATCAAGGAGAAACAAAAACAACGGTCACACAGAATGGCTCCCTCAAGGATTGAACTCAAAACTCTGGGTTTAGCAGGTCAATGCTCAAGCCACTAAGCTATCCCTCCCTCTGGTATTTCAGGCAGGACTGAATCTCCATTAAAGTTTTCAAGCTACCCCTGACAGACCTCACCAAAACGACTGTCAGCCATTGATTTCACAGGGGGCGGGAGGCAGCAAATGAATACAAAACAAATCTGGTCTATTTCTTGTTTTGATCCACTCCATCTATCTTTTACATCTTTGGCTGGCAGCAGACGGTGCAGTAGGACTGCTAGCCATCCTCATCTCCTGCCTGCTCACCATAAGATGGTACAACAGGACTGCCTGCAGGACAAAAGAGAATGACCTGGTCAAGTCACTTCTAATTTAGTCCCTGCGCCCATATCTGCCCAGGCGCTCCTGACCAACCTTACCAAGGCGGCCAGGAGCACCTTGGACACAATGAGGATGGTTTTCAGGCCTATTGCACCATCTGCTGCCACAAGGCAATGGGTTGCTGCTGCTGCTGTGTAGCAATGCAGTATCACGTCTGCCAGCACCCAGGAGACATACGGTGACAGCGAACTGAGCGAGCTCCATGCTTGCCATGGTATGGTGTCTGCACGGGTAACTCAGGAAAAAAGGCATGAAACGATTGTCTGCCGTTGCTTTCACAGAGGGAGGGAGGGAAGAAGGGCCTGATGACATGTAACCAGAACCACCCAAGGCAATGTTTTTTGCCCCATCAGGTATTGGGATCTCAACCCAGAATTCCAATGGGCAGCGGAGACTGCGGGAATTGTGGGATAGCTACAAACAGTGCAACACTCCAGAAGTCGACGCTAGCCTCGGTACTGTGGAAGCACTCCGCCAAGTTAATGCACTTAATGCACTTAGAGCATTTTGTGTGGGGGGGACACACTATCGACTGTATAAAAACGATTTCTAAAAAACCAACTTCTATAAATTCAACCTAATTTCGTAGTGTAGACATACCCTTAAGTGGAAAGGAAGGAAAACTGCATAGGACAGAATGAACATCAACAGTGAAAGTGTTATGGCAACAGTATACAGTAATTGTAAAAGATACTGTGTTTACCTCATGTGGATTTGTGTAGCCCAGAAGTAGATTTGCTGCTTTAATGTCACCATGAACATACTCATTTTCATGCATATATTCCAAGGCATCCAACTAGGAAAAAAGTCCAAAAGGGAATGTTTATTTATTATTATTCTCATCATCACCAAAACATACTTCACTTATTCAATGAGCCTCAACTGCCACATTACAGGCTAGAATGTAAGGTAATGATCTGCCCTGCATTAGCAGCAGCCCTCCTGGTTCCCCTGGGACCAGGGATAGATTATATTGTTCTGGGTCTATGCCCATCCCAGTGTACGCTGCCAGATGCACAGGAAAGGAAAGCAAAGCCAAGACTCTGGCCATTTCCTGCCCCATTCTGTCCACTTCCTTCCACTGCTATAATGCAGGTAGCTGATGCTGGAATGTAAGGGCACATGCCAGCTGGGCCACATTTTATCCATATATATCTACCCTATAGATCTTTGAAATTTGTAAAATCTCTTTAAATGTGATTTTAAGGTCTTTTTTCTCATGTTCCATTAATGAAACTAATACTGGAAGGGCTGGGGGAATTCCTAACTCTCCAAAGGGATAACATATCTGGTCCTGATGGTTCACAAAATATTGGACCTTAAGACTGTTAATAGGTCTAGGACTAATTATTGCTAACCCTGCACTTCAGATCAGGAGAGGTACTTTCATATTTGATGAGAAGAGAAACATGTTTATAGTGGACTGATTTACACAAAGAAAAAAAATGGCTGTTTGAGAGGCACCCAGTGTTGGAATGTTAAAACCACCGGTCCATCAGTGAAAAGAGATTAGTGACAGAATGCAGGGAAGATGCTAAAGAGGCAATATAAATGCATTTTATTGCATTTATTTGATGATACAGTAGACCCTTGCTATAATGCCCTTTGCAATAGCAAACCTTAAACTATAGCAAACATGGTCCCTGGATCCTGCCTCCAGCTCCACCTGCTGTGGTGGGGGGTTGAGAGCTCCTTTGGCCCCAAGACTGCAAGTTTGTGGGGGGGAGAGGAGGGGAAGAGGAGAGAAAGGGGGCAAAGTGCTCCTTTGGCCCTGGGGCCACCGGACGAGCATTCCCTTGCCATACCACACACATGGCTTGGATCCCCAGGGGTTTGTTATAGCAAGGGGTACTGTGCCACTCTCTCACAAAACAAATGGCATTCCCAAACGACACAGCATATAATCACCCATCAATCTATGCTAGTTTAAAGGAATCTGAAAACAATGATGATACATGTACAATCCTACAGGCTTATTTTGGCCTGTACAATGATGAAGATGTGAAATCAGATTAAATATCCTTCTGCATAACAAAGATGGTGGTGCTGAAAGCACTGTGGCCAAAATTGTCTAACCTGCCTGGCTAACATTAGGCACCTTCAAAATCTCTGAAAATAACGCCACTTAGCTGGTGTGTCCAAATATGGGTGTAGGCGCCTAACTTTAGGCATCCATATTTGAACATTTTGTCTCATCCTGTTACTGAGCCTGATCCAAAGCCCACTGAAGTCAATAGAAGTTTTTCTATTCACTTCGGCTCAGGCCCATAGAGAGCTAGTGTAAAGAGGATCTTGTTTCCACTCCTAATCAATAACACTCAGTTTCATAAAAATAGGTTTCAGAGGAACAGCCGTGTTAGTCTGTATTCGCAAAAAGAAAAGGAGTACTTGTGGCACCTTAGAGACTAACCAATTTATTTGAGCATGAGCTTTCGTGAGCTACAGCTCACTTCATCAGATGTATCATAAAAATGTAATTTGAAGAGGAAAATTAAGACCCTGATTCAGGATGATACTTAAGTATCTATGCAACTTCATGCTGACTTGGGACCGAAATAGATCTCAGCATTTCACAAAGAGCAGATGCATTAGGAGAGTTCAATACATTAAAAACAGAACCACTTCCTTCCCCTCTGCACTTACCATTCGGGCCCCAAGTTGAAGAACTGTTTCTTTTTTAAACCGGTGTCCATCATTGTCCAAGATTCTTTGCAGGTCTACACCTAATCTTTCCATGACCATGAATCTGTAACTATTAGAAAATACACAAGTGAGGAATCCTTGTAAGACACGGGGTACAGATAGCTTTATATCAACAAGCTCAAAACATACTTCATTTAATTGAAAATAAATCTTCGGGCAACTATGAGCCCAACAGCGTTGACTCCAATTCACCTTGTTATTACCTTTTTCCATTGTATTTAGCCAAGCCTGATCCCCAGAACACCGGAATTCCTAAAAATCCTATTTGTCTGAGCCTCATCCACTTTTTGACTGTCAAAATAATAATAGATAAGACAGAATTTAAGGTAGTTTGAGAATCTACAGTTTAACCTTAGTATTTAGCTATCATTAGAATCTTTGTTGTTAAAATGAAAACACATACAGGTAACTATTTTAACCTAACAGCCCAATTAAAAAGTTCAGCAAGTAACTTTCTGCAAAAGTAAAGCTCTGTGTTCCTTTGATATATGCTTCTCTGAGTCATAACAACACAATAGGAATCCAGTCAGTAGCTGAGAAAAAATAATTCCTTTACAAACTTTACTTTTTGAATTTACCTTCTTGAATAAACAGTGGATCAACAGAGTATGCAATTAGGCCTCAATCGAGCAAAATACTTAAGTACATGTGCAATTTTTGCTCATCCGAAGTCATTGGGACTGCTACTATGAGTAAAGAGCTTGCAGGTTCAGTGCCTAAATTACTACTAAATCTTCCAAACACTTATGCATGTGAGTAACTTCATTCCTGGAACGGTTATTGGCCCTTACTAAGTAGTCCTTGCAACACCTCTGTCCATAGCCTAAAATATGGACTATGGAGAGAGGCTAGTTCTCCCTCAGATTTGTCACCCTACTAGTCCTGATTCTATTTTCACTTACACCAGTGAGAATAAAACTAATGTAAACCAGACCAGAATCAGTCCCAGTGTTTGAAGTATGCTTGATATAAAAGCTTCAAGATATCAATTGCTCTAATTGGAAAAATATACCTTTTAATTTTATTTTGTTTTGCTGATATTACTTACTGTGCTCTTGTTTTGCAGCTCTCTGGTAAAACTTCAATTCAGAAAACAAAGGCCCATTTTCAAGATATTCCTATAGAGGAACAAATAAATTTGGTGTGATAAAGTGAGTTGGGGAAAAAAAAAAGGAGTTCCTAAATAATAATAGTTCCAAGTGGGTTAAAATCCATTTTTTTAAAAAAAAGATACACTATGACATTTGACAAAAGTTATTTTACATAAAATATAGCCAGTATATTGTTTTAAAAACCAATCACTTCTGTTGGCAAAACAAGCTGTTCACTGCAAATGCTCAAAGGAAAACATGTAATACAGACTAACACAAGTACTATTTAGGAAATTAAATTAATACATTTTAACTTCAGTCACTGTATATTCTTAAATATGCAGTCTGATTCCCCCCCCCCCCCCCCACTGTGATGTCCATGGTTAGTAATGGAAGCAAAGAAACAGCAAGCATTAAGGAATCACAAAACACTCCTCCAGCAGACAAATTATGCTGTGATGGAAGAATGGCACACACAAAAAACATGCAATGCAACTCAATGCTCCAAATAAGAATAAATAGAAAATACATGAGAAAATGCTAGTACTTTAAATAATTTAGAAGTGAGATATGAACATTACCACTTTAATTACATGCACAGCCTCATCTTCTACAGGAATATGAACATGAGAGGAAGCTGTAAAAATCAGAGAGATGGTGATGAAACTTCCCCCAACAGTCAATATAATTGCAACTAAACAGCAAAACATGTAGTTTTGGTCAAAACAAAAAAAAAGAGGGTGGGAGGAGAGGGGAAGGAGACATTTCTCAAAACTGTTAGAAATGTTTTCCTTTTGAAATTTTGTCCAAATTTCAAAATTAAAAAAACTTCAACCTATTTTGATAATACTTGTATGTATTAATCCTACAGTAGAAACTCAGAGTTACGATCACCAGAGTTACGAACTGACCTGTCAACCACACACCTCATTTGGAACGAGAAGTATACAATCAGGCAGCAGGAGAGACAAAAAAAGAGCAAATTTAGTATAGTACTGTGTTCAACGTACACTATTAAAAGAAAGGGAATGTTTAAATAAAAGATTTGACAAGGAAACTGTTTCTGTGCTTATTTCATTTAAATTAAGATGGTTAAAAGCAGCATTTTTCTTCGGCATAGTAAAGGTTCAAAGCTGTATTAAGTCAACGTTCAGTTGTATACTTTTGAAAGAACAACCATAAAGTTTTGTTCAGTTACAAACATTTCAGAGTGTCGAACAACCTCCATTCCTGAAGTGTTTGTAACTGAGGTTCTACTGTACTTTCAGTGGAATGTGTCAACCCAATCTTAACTACAGAGCCACGAGAGCACCTCTACTACATATTCACACCAAACTTTTGTGAAACTATGTTATATTAAAATAGACTAATTGGTTTTCTATTTCCTAAACCATTCAGTCAGTTGGGTCTCTATGTATGCTTCCAGTCAATCTGTTGTCATGACAAAGAGACTCTACTAGAGTTATGCCCTATGCCATGCTGCCAGATGGGGTTGTCTGCTTTCCCTATTTCAATTTAATCTGGCCCTTGAGCCTTGATTGCCACTCTGGAATTATTTGTTTAGTCACTGATCTGAGTTGTGGAGAGTGCAGATACAACCCATCCAAAGAGGGGACCAGTGATTGTGCCTCTTAGTGCAAAAAAATTCAAAACACTAACTGAACATATTTGACAATTACAGGCTACAAAACAGAATCCCTTTGCACAATAGGCATCTATTTTTTTCTGACCCTGAGAGAACTCTGTTCCCTTGGATGTCACTGAAGCATACGGGACCACATCAGGAAGAGAGGATAAAAAACCTAATTTGTTTTAAGATTGATCTTAATAAATTTATGGAGGGGACAGTGTGTTGAGATTGCCTAAAATGGCATATGGCCTATCCGGAACTGCTATTAGCAGATATCTCCAATGGCGAAAGATTGTAAACCAAAGGGGGAGGACTCTTGAGTTGCTGAAGAGAATTCTTTCCCAGGTGTCCAGAGTGGATCTTACCACATGCAAGACTTATCCACACTGACACATCATTCCATCAATTGCTATTGGCCAAGATGGTCAGGGATGCAATCCTATGCTCTGGGTGTCCCTAAACATCTGACTTCTAGATGCTGGGACTGAATGACAGGGGATGGATCACCCAATAAAGTGCCCTCTTATCTTCACTCCCTCCATCGGAAGATAGGATACTGGGCTAGGCGGACCTTTGGTCTGACCCAGTACGGCTATTCTTTTTTTCTTATGCTCAGGACCTAACTAATCACTAAACCTGGGGTCAGGAAGGAATTTCCCCCCACGTCAGATTGGCAGAGACCCTAGTACTTTTTTCACTTTCCTCTGCAGCATGGTGCACAAGCCACTGGCTGGTTTGAACTAGGGTAAATGGTTGATTCTCTGTAACTTGAAGTCTTTAAATCAAGATTTGAGGACGACAGTAACTCAGCCAAAGTTTATGGGCATATTACAGGAGTGGAGGTGGGTGAGGTTCTGTGGCCTGCAATGTGCAGGTGGTCAGAATAGATGATCGTGATGATCCCTTCTGGCCTTAAAGTCTATGAGGGAAAGAAGGTAAATTTAAAAATATATATATCATACATGGCAAAGTATTACAATGTCCAGTGCAATATCCTATACAGACTATAACAGGAGGAATGTTTAAAGCAACTATTTGTAAATACTGATATATCCAAAGTTGCTCATGTTGTTAGCATTGTGACAGACATATCACTGTATTGCTTTTTATTAACCATTTATATATTGAATATACAATGTTGTAGCCATGTTGATCCCAGGATATTAGGGAGACAAGATGGGTGAAGGAATATCTTTTATTGGACCAACTTCTGTTGGTGAGAGAGACAAGCTTTCAAGCTTACAGAGAGCTCTTCTTAAGGGCTTGTGTGTAAGCTCAAAAGCTTGTCTCTCTCTCACCAATAGAAGTTGGTCCAATAAAAAAAATACTACCTCACCCACCTTTTCTCTTTATGTTGGGAGGCAGTTGGATACTATATTTATCCACTATGGTCCACAAGTGAGGACGACTATTTTTGCATATAATAAACATAACACATTTTTTAAAATGGATTATTATGCAGTTACTTAACAGACTGGAAAGGCTCCGAAGGTTTAACAGCCTGATTATACCTCACAGACCAGCACCACATACTCTCCTGCAAGTTTAGCCCATAGTTAATTACTCTATAAGACACATAATTAGCTATGTGCTAAGCTCATTCTATGTGGTAGCACATGGCTATACATAATACTACAATCAGTTAAATCCTAGACTACGGGCTAATAAGCAGACACCCTGTAGGAGAGCAGTGCTGGAATGCAGGAGCACTCTGATGGCATATAAGTACACACAGAGTACCAGGCGCACTATATGGTTGGACTATGTTAGCAAAGGTACTCCAAAATAATATGGCAATTGTGTAATTCTCCAGATTCTGGCTATGGCATACACATTTTACTTACACTAGCTGCAAAAAAAGTGGGATGCATTGTAGTTCAAGAATTATTTTTGAAATGTATCTTGAATCTCTAGAACTTTTGCTTTCAGCATTGGTGGAAATATTGTTATAAGTTACAACTACTGCACCAGAGAAAAGTAACTGAAGGATGACATTAAAAATACAAGCTGAAATAAGGTCTACATTCTTCACCACAATTTCCAATTACTGTGTCTAGGCAATGCAGAAAATATATCAAATTAACTCATTTCCAGAATTTCCTAGCTTTGCCCAGTGACAGCAAGCTGGGCTAAGATCTCACCATCAGCCTTAACTATGAATTCATGGAGTTTGTTGACTTGCACCACAATCTTAATTAATCAGTCTTTCTGTGTTTAAATATGACAAGGTAACAATAGAATTTCTGGATGAACTGAGATTCCCTAGGACTGCATAGCACAACTGCATTCAGCGTGACAAAGAAACATGCCAGTTTTATTTGCCAGTTCAAATGTGCCAGCTTTAGTTTTAGCAGTTTAATCTGTGGCAGTCATGTTTGGAATATTGTGAAGTATTCACAATGGTTCTCATAAAAATCAGTTTGTAGACAAAGTTTACACAGTGGAAAAGAAAAGCAGTGTATTTGGCAGTGAGGAAAAATATCCCTGTTCCTGTCCCCAGCTGGTCTCAACGCTGCTGCTGGCTATTTGGGAGATAAAAGCTCATATTGGAAGCATGAATAAACTCAAGAAGCCTTTTTATCATCTTTTGCCATGTTTTCCAGGGGATATGAAAATGTGTAGTGATATTGTCCTCTCAGCTCTGTTTACACAGGAATAAAACAAAACCCATGATTCAAAAATTAACACAGTACTCAAAAGCTAGGGCTAAGAACTGCAAATTAGTTGATATAAAAGTAATGAAAAGACTAGTGAAATCCTGGCCCCACTGAAGTAAATGAAAGTTTAGCCATTTACTTCAACAGGGCCAGGATTTCACCCACTGTGTTTAATGTAAAGAAAGTTTTCATTTATGTAAACATCCTAAAGAATCATTTTCAGAACACTGGCTTGATCATAAATAAAAACAATCAGCAATGGCAATAATTAAAAAGACTAAATATTTACCATCTACAGTTGTTAAATTATTGTGGTATTGTTGGATCATATTAAAGAAATTCTATATTAAAATCACAAATGAGTTTGATTCCCCACAGTTTAAATTCCAGGGTATTACTAATTAAGAGGTCCCTTCGTTTTTGGTACTGTTTCTCTCCCTCTATGTGTGAAACTTGCAAGCTGCTAATTGTGTTAGTACATTCTAAGACAGTCTGTTCTCAAAGCAATTCTTTGTAACAACTACTACTCACACAGACTCAAAGCAATATTCTGTAACAACAGAAACAGCACCCAGAGACTCCCCGCCCTTTTGTTGTATTCATCTCGCTTTGTTAACAAGTGTGATTAAAATAGAGGATGTATGTGGACGGATGCTTGGTGTGGATAATAACTGAATGATCAGGGAGGTGCCAGCCTAAGAATCCAGTGTCCAATAGCTGAAGAAGGCGTCAAGTGGAAATAACCCGAGGACCCCCGGAGGGCAGACTGGAATCCACCCAACAGCCTCAAGAATGGGAGAACCAAAGAACAAGATAACATCTGGCAACACGGAGCCGACAGGAATGTGCCATCTCCTGATTGATTCAGCAACAGCATGATGAAGCAATTCCCATAGACTGGCATAGGAAGAGATTCTTATAAAAATGGACTCTAGAAAGTGAAAACTTTGGGGTCTGATTCTGCAAACCAACTTCCAAGAGCAACAGATGAGCATCTGACAAGGCCCTGCTCCCTCCTCATGTCCAGGCCACCTGGCCAGTGGCTTGGCATGAGCAACTCTAAGGCAACCTTGCAGAACCTGTGTGTGTGTGTGTGTATGAATGAATGTGTGAATAAATATGAAATTGAATGGAATGTTATAGCTATAACTGACTGCTTACTATGATTCTTTCTGTATTCACAATAAATCTGGCATTTTGCCTTTTCCCCTTTAATAAGATCCTGATGGTTTTTATTTTATTGGTATAACAGTATTACCTATCAGAATGCCATGCAGAAACAACGCCTAGTTTTAATAGAGCCCTTTGTATTTTTCCCCTTTTGTTTTCTTTCAATATCTCATGGAATTG